TTTTTGCCTCATGACTGCGACCTTACTGGTAATATTTTCTTGTCTTCTGTATCTGTTTGTTATTGTTTATCGGGATAAATAGGTGCTGGTTTTTGCCATTGTTAGTTAGTAAGTCCGCTCGTGAATAAAGCCATTTTGTTGCTTTGATTGCCTTCTATTTTGTTCCTTAAAAAATGGCCCTTTGGTTCATACTATCTGCAATTTGAACTGTGCTGGCAACAGGACTTCCATGAGCAAGATTTGGAAGGTGAAATGACTTGGATGGGACATCGAGGCTATAGGAAATGGCCTGTCCGTGTTGAGATAGTGGGGTAGAGTTAAAGTTGAGTTAAATTTGAGTTTTGATTGGAATTTTTACTATTGAATTTATATACAATCACACCCTTAGGAAAAAAATTTCATCTGTTTGATATATAATGAATATTAATCAAAATGCAAGGATATAAGAAAGAAATCAGGGAACTATAAATTTTGCACAAATGGTTCTGATGCATTTCGGACCGTTTTTATATTCTTATGAACTCATCTTTACTATCTCGTTTTCTTTTCTTTGCTTTCCTTTTGGTTTCGGGTTTGCACTTCATTTCATATGTCCGTGCATATGTTTTGCAGTTGTTTGGGGTTGGGCCAAATAAGCAGGTGTACTTGAACTGATTGAATGTACAAGTTATCACATATAGCACCACTTGGATAAAAAACATGGATAATTCGTAAGCATTGAGAACTGCAGGTTTTGAGAAAGTTTCACTTAGCCTGAGGTGTTGATGATATTGTTATTCCAGGAAGAGAATGGGGGGGGCCATGTAAAGCATCAAGCCCGTTAAGTAAGGCCATGAACCCCGAGGCTGATGCTTTGGTAGCCCACAAGATGAATCGCGAGGCACTAATATGAACTAAACCTCTTTATTAATTTTCATATCCCAAATCCTGAGTCTAATTTTTTGGTTTGCATTTGCTACTCAGAGACTCGGATCCCCGCTGCGTGTGATAGTCGCTGGTGTTATTGGCAACATTCTGTGAAATGTCTCGACTCCATCAACATTATCCCATGTGAATAACAGGTGAGACAAAAGAATTAACAGTACTTTCCGATTCCATTGGAAAAAAAATAAAAAAAAAAAATCATTCTGTTTCATTTGGTTTGATCTGCTTTTTCTGAAGGAGTTCTTTTTATGCAAAAGGATTGCAGTTTCGTTTTTCGTTCAATCGCTTTCAGGTGGATATAGCTGGAAGTGTGCAGCATGAAAATGGGAAGTCATTTGGAACTTGAGAGGGATATTAAACAACTTGTGTTGTCACATTCATGTTCAGATCGCGTAAATATATAGGTATTGATATACCTTTTCCACCATCCAACACGAAGATAAATCAATTTTCTCAGTTTTTCATGTCCCTACATACTACATAGTTGTAACATTTGCTCTGTGCCACATCTTGAGCTCAGTTTGTCGATTAATATAGCCATTTATCTGCACGTTCTTGTTCCTGTTATACGGTTTCTGGAATGGTATCGATTGCATTACAGATTGACGTGATCTTGAGGCTATTAAAAATATATTTGATGTCTACTTTCATATTAACAAACAGTTGCAAGTTTCAGTTTTCATTAATCTGTAGTTTGAGAATATATTAAAAGCAATGCATAATGCATATATATACACATACCTAAGCATCACTGAACTACATTAGGCAGTCCAAAATTTTAAAATTCTAGTAAACCACCAAATTATTGATGAAATGAGATTGCCGGTCATCGTTGATTATGTGTACACAATAAACTTATGACTCAAGGATTGCATTGCATACATGTTCACAACCTGCGGACTCTCACAAAGCTTAAATTAATCAATCACACCGTTAAATCAAAATACACAGATAAACAATAAACAGCAGTTAAAAACACATGGCAAAAATCACAAACTAGTAAGAAACTATTACTGAGAAATGACAAGTAATTAGCAGAAAATCATTAATGAAACATCATGTTGTGGCTGACAAGACAACTTTTGTTTCTTTTGTCTTGTACAGAGACATGCTACTCAGTCAAGCCATCATAACAGAACAGTTGAGTATAAAGTGGCTGAGCCGATTCCCCCCTCCGTCCAGACGCCTCCATCTCAGCTCCCCCGTTTTCAGATTCGGTCGGCATGTGTAGATTGCCATGTAGCCGCACGAATCTGAGGTCGCCCCTATCACGAGCAGCTCGTCCCCGAGCGACTTGAACGCTACCCCCCATCCCCTGTTGCAGTCCGCCCTGAGCGGGACCCGCCCAAGCCCCCTCCACGCATTCTCATCCTTTAGATACACCTTCAGCTGATTAGTAGCCGCCTCGAGCGAGTACAGCTCATTTTCCACCACCGCCAGCAGCGGCGGCGAGTGTGACGACCTCACGGGGTCGTCCTTCACCATCCCCGGTATCACCTCCCATCTCCCCGTCCCCTCGTCGAAAAACTCCCCGCACGTGAGCTCCCCTTCCTCTTCGTTCCTCCCCCCCGCCACGTAGAATCTCCCGTCCATGCAGAAACCCGCGCACAGCTTTCTCTTCTTCCTCATCCTCGGGAGCGGGCCCCACGAGAGGGTCTCCGGGTCGTAACGCTCGGCCGTGTCGTACACACCTTCCCCCGGGACGGCCCCCATGCCGCCCGCCACGTAGGCGCGACCCCCGCACGTGGCGGACGCGAAGAGGCACCTGGGGGAGAGCATCGCGGGCCCGCGGGCCCACCGCCCGCCCGCCAGGTCGTAGCGCCAGACGGCGAGGCCGTCGATCTCGCGACCGGAGACGAGGAGGTGGGTGCCCGCGCAGAACGACTCCTTGTCCCCCGAGGCGAAGCACGGGTCGGAGGGGAGTGGCGGGAGCTTGCGGCGGGAGTCGAAGCCTCGGTCGAAGGCCCACCAGCGGGTCTCGCCGCTGGCCAGCATGAAGACGGAAGGCTCCCGGAAGCCGATCTCCTTTCGGATGCGGTAGAGCTCGCCGGTTTTGAGGAGGGAGAGGAAGCGCTTGTTGACGAGATTCAGCTTCCAGTGCTCGGAGCTCGGGAAGCGGGCGAGGATGAGGGACTCGAGCTCGTAGCTGAGGGACGGGGAATAATCTGCATCCTGAGGTTCCTTGTCTCCTCGGGACATTTTGGTCTTTTTGGTGACAGAAGTCTCAAGTTTGAGGAGTTTCATGAGAAACCAAGTCTCAAGTGTAGTGCACAAAGCCCTTCATATAAGAGCAGTAGTTGTGTAGTATAGTGAAAAGATGAACAACACACACCAAAGCTTTTACTCATAGGCTGACAAATGAAAGAAAAAAAAAACGGCATTGTGGGCATTGAGGCAAGAGGGGGTAATATTGTAATACAAGAAAAAAGGGATTGGATTCCTCAGTGAATGGGTCCCTTCATTGGCTAGCTCAAAGGCTAATAGTACCATCAAATTTATTAAAAATCACTAATACACTGAACCTATCCTTGATTTGAAGAAAGCAGGTGGATTTTTTTTTTTTTTTTTTTTTTTTTTTTTTTTT